TGTCCCTCCGAAATGCACATTTATTAACTTTACTTGAGATACTTCTTGTGTTATAGCCACACTCCCTGGTGCAGTTGACTGTTTCCGGTTTTCCGACTTCTCCCGCCACGAAACACCAACTATGAGAGAAAGCTATACTCATACGCCATACTTTTGCAGTATTGCAGTATGGTATTATAGTATGTGCTCAGTACATACATGTTTTAAAGAAACAGACTCAAGACCAGTACAGTGTCGCGGTGGGTTTCAGAAAAGAGCGATAAGTCGTAAAAACCACTTGGCTTGTGCCAGAGTAATTTCTGAAGCATTTATTTGTAAAGAATGATTGTAATTGAAACATGCAATTTTTGTTGATCGCTTTATTCATTTTATACAAGTTCAATAATATTCTGATTTATATATTTCAAAATACGGATACAGAAGTGCGACGATGACATGAGTGCGAATGTGGTAGAAACCACAGCAGTGTGTTCTTTTGTTTCAATTTTTATATTCAGCCAATTAGAAGCTTTCCGTTAATTTCTTACATGGCTAGTACTGCAAGCTCTGTGTCATTCTTCCAAGTTGTATGTGTTATATCCTGTAATATCTCCTTGTACGTCTTCGGAATGTCAGAGCGGGCTTTCTGTTAGCAAATAAATAAGTTATTACAAGTATGTCTACTGTGGTGATTGGTGCTGATTGTGTAACAATTTTAAGATCCGGAATTTTGTTGATGATTGTTTGACTTCTTGTGTGACTTAGATCCCGTAGAAAAAAATCGTTAGTACACCCGTGCCAGTAACTGATTTTAATTTAGTTGTCTACAAATTGGTGAACTGTTTATTATTATTACCGATAATAGGTGTTAAATGGTGATTTTAAACCTGTGCAATCATAAAACCTTCGTTTAAACTTGCTTCGTGTGCGTAACTTTCTCGTATCTTAGTGACCATCTATGCTAGACTTGACTGATGTAGCATCTGAATCAGCCCTATACCAACAATCTTGATAGTCTGTGTTCATTATAGTACAATCTTCTTTGTTATATAAGCACATGTAGGCCAATGTAGCCAAACAACCACAAAACGTTAGAAACCACCATTTTGAACAGCTTTGAACGTTTTGGCTGCTTCCCCTGGTGACGTCACTGAGTATTTTTTATGTAAATTACAAGCTAATGAAGACTATATCGACGAGCCTAGTTTTGAGATAAAATGACATTGGCGTAGACTGAGTGTATAGCCATTTTTCATAAAATAATTAATTTTGTCATGAAACACATAAACCACAATAACATTCTCCAATTATAATTGGCTTTAGACAAGGAAATAACAAACATTTCATCTTTAAATGCGTGATATTCAGCCGCATTTTGTTTCACGGTCAACAAATATCAAAATGCTTACTAAATTAGTGACCAGAATAAATAATTTGAACGAATCAACTGATTGAACATACAGACACAGATGGACAAAACGAAGAAATAACAGCTACGAATATTCTATTGCAGGAGAACATGTTAGGTCGACCATCCACGTTCTACTTTGTTAAAACTGTCACACACCACTAAAAATATTCACTCATTTTTTATACATTTTATTTTATTGAAACTTAGATTGCTGAGACCTGTAAATTGGCACTGGCAAGAATCAACTGGTTAAATAGCGAAGAAAAACATATTCAAGTCGAGAATTCATACAAAAGTGTTGATCCTGCTCCAGCATCAGTTGACGACAATGTTGAGTCATTGAAAGCCACATTGCTGAATGAGTCTTTACCATTGTTTGATCGATATAGAGCAATGTTTGCATTAAGGAATAAGGCAGGCCAAAAATCAGTCTTTGCACTTGCTGAGGGTACGCATTGTTTAATAGATTTATATTTGTACGTTTTATTTGTAACGCAACGAACTTTTCTGGATTTTGTAGTGTTAAAAAACATTTACATGTCAGTATATATTTGAGAGACTAGTTACTATGGCAATGCTGACAACGAGGCTGATGACGTACTCGGACACACATATCTCGTGCAAATAAAAATGATCTACTATTATATTATATATTATATTCTGTACGAAAACACAAACAATATTGATAACCCGTTTATCATATCTATCTACTAGGTATGAAAGCCAGCAGCAAACTTCTACGACACGAATTGGCGTTTACACTTGGGCAAATGAGAAACAAGGCTGGCGACGCACTTGGGAGAAATGCTGATAACATTATAGTTACAGTGTTGACTGAAGCGTTGAAGAATTCTAACGAGAGTCTAATCGTTCGTCACGAATGTGCGACTGCTCTGGGAGCAATGGATGAAAATGATTGCATGCAGGTCTTGAAAGAATATTTGCATGACGAAGAAGCTGTTGTCAGTGAAAGCTGTCAGCTTTCATTGGAAATGTATGCGTACTCATTACTTAGCAAGTAACTGAAAATATGCAACAGATATTGCTGAAAACTAAACCCACTCACTCTAATAGATAAGATAGATAATCAACTGGATAATTTTTGTTTCAGACCCTATAATGAATAACATGGTTTTAAATCAGTGATCTAATATTCGCGGTGTATTGAGGTTCATTTAATAATTACATACGATACACTTGATAAGGTAAATAAATATGGGTATAATAGTATAACAGTGTTGATCGATTGTGAACAAAGTATTATATTTCTGACATGCCTCCAGGGCATTATATCAACCAGAAATTATTGTGTATACAGTAACATTGTTTATTATGTTTTTCTTATTATGTCATGATATTATTCGTATGACATCTCATTTTTGTTCATTGACTTTTCCAAGTATAAGTAATACATATAATTTAGTAACATTGTACAATTCTTTCCTTTAATAATAATTTGCATACAGTTCAGACAAAAGTTAAATCTAACTTTAGTTTTGATCTCAGATCCCAGGTGCCCAATACATGATGTTTTCAATAGTAACATAAGCGTACTAGTGTTTTTTATTTTCCTCATCACATAAAGTATATTATTGTTCTAAACATTCTTTGCTGGAATTGTAAATCAATGGTGTTAACATGCAGGTTATTTTGTAAAATCTAAAACTGAAATTCACGAAGGTAACCAACAGTCGATATATGAAATAAAGTTATGAATAATGTTTTTGATTTGGGGGTAAATGGAGTAGTTATTATTAATAAATGTTGTGTTTTTGCTTGTTGAGCAAATTATTTAGTATAATTGATTTGCTGTACATTCACTTGTTTTCAAGGTATTGTTTTCACTGCGCCAAACTATTCAAGTAGTATACAGCTATTGATTCTGGCGTTGTTTTTCCGCCTGTGTCAATATCGTAGGTTGTATATGTTCCCATATATTTATTTTATGAGAAAGTTTGTGTGGGTTTCACAAATAAGATCAAACTGTACAATTATCAAATCTACGTTTATTATACTTTTACGCTTATTTAAGAATATTTTACCTTTCTCTTTTTACAATTAGTGTTATTATGATTGGAAAAAAAACTTGTATGTGATATACTGAATTAAGAATAAAACTGAGGTTTTATAAAGTCCGATTTGATTATAAGATTCACTTGATAAACCCAATGTGCTTTGAATTAGTAACTTTTTATGAAGCGCACTCTAGGTTTTATCTTCTCTTCTCCTTCGCATAGTTTGGCTTATTCCACATCCAGTTCTCCTAATGGAAATGGTTTATTTTTCCTTGGCATGTCCCAATATTTGAATAGACGGTTCAAATGTTCATATAGCTAGTACTATTATTCGTGTATTTCTTATTATGAGTTATCGCGATTATTATGTCGCGTTATGGCGATTATTATGTCGTTTTGTATCGGTTATAATGTCGTGTTGTGTCCATTGGTAATGCCGATTATTAGTTTCCAGTATGCAGGAAAAAT